GGGGAAGAAGAGAGAGATTGGGAGAGAGGGAGAGAGGGAGAAGAGAGACGGGGTAAAGGGAGAGAGAGAGAGAGAGAGGAGGGGGGAAGAAAGAGATTCTTTTTGCTCACTGGGGTTGGGCATTGGGTTAATTTCTGAAAGCAGGCCTCCTAACATTGATAGAACGTCTGCTATATGTGTTACTTCTTTGCTTAGAGTTGCTAAGAATAATTATTGCCATTTTAATTACCAATACCAGTCTATACTGTTCAACCAAGTTTACATTGAAGATATTAATTTATTTCAGGTACTTATACAGCACCATCAATTTATGCAGCACTTTACATATATGTTGTACGTTTACATCAGTCCCTAACCCTCTAGGAGAGTACAATCTAAAGTCCCTACTTCTCATACATACATATACTAGGGACAATTTAGACAGGATCCAATTAACCTACTAGCATGTCTTTGGAGTGAGGGAGGAAACCCACACAGGCAGAACATGCAAGCTCCAAGCAGGAGGTGCCATGGTTGGGATTTGAACCAACAACCCTAGTACTGTCAGGTGGAATAGCTAACCATTTAGCTACTGTGCTGCCCACAGTTTAATATAAACCTCATACCAATGTACTCCAATCTGTGTGAGAGTCTACTTTCTGGTGTTAATTTACTCTGGTTAAAGGAATCTTGTGGTGTCAGCAGGATTTGGGCTTTCAGAGAGAGGTCCGGATGACAAGGAGCCCGAAAATAACTCAGCGACTCCTAAGGGGGTAGTGCTACAATATCTTAATAAACATACATAAGGCAGCGGCATTAAAACCACAAGGACCGTCTAGTCCCTCAGCCTATAAAACGCTATGAAAAGCTGACAGCAGCTGTGGCTAGATGATGAACCAAGCGGAAATGACATTTAGAGCAGTATATGCCCTGGGACAATTGATGAGAATGTAAGCCGTGTGCGTCCAGGGCCACTCGCATGTGATCACTACATGAGAGATTACATGCAAGTGGCTGCGAGAGCCAATAGCCTCCCATTGCTTTCAATGGGGCTGCCTCTTGCAGCTTATTGCAGGAACCCCCGCTAGGGTTCTTGCATCTAATCACAGGCAGGATGCAAGTGTGAACACACCCTTACTCCACAGACCTCTCTTAAAAATGACAAAGCAGGGAGAGCATGTAAAGATTTTTTTTAAGCAAGTAAAAAGCACTAAAAAAAAAAAAAAAAAAAAAAAGGTAACCAGCAATTTAAAAACATTTTTTGTAAGCTATGCTATGTTAATGGGATAACACACACACACCGTGGGTTTCCTCCAGGTACTCCAGTTTCCTCCCACACTCCAAAGACATGCTGGTCGATTAACTGGATCCTGTCTAAATTGTCCCTAGTATGTGTATGTATGAATGTAAGTTAGGGACCTTAGATTGTACGCTCCTTGAGGGTTAGGGACTGATGTGAATGTGCAATATATATGTAAAGTGCTGTGTATATTGACGGCGCTATATAAGTACCTGAAATAAATTAATAATATACATATATAGCGGAAACTTTTTGAAGACCCCTCATATTTGTTGCATGTTCCCATTAACATAGCATAGCTTCCAAAAAATAAATGTATGTGTGTGTATACACACACGGCTTTTTTCAGTGGGAACGTAGTTCCGGCACCTTCAACACTGAATGTATGTGGCAAGGGGTGCTGGGGTGTGCTGGAGGGTTCACTAATGCTAGATGCTTGGCAAACTATTCTCGCTGGGGGATCTACTGTTGTGGGAGGGGTATATTGTTGCTTAATGCTGGAGGGTCTTTTAATGCTGGGAGATCTATTGTTGCTGGTCGGTGTCTATTATTACTGGGTGGGTCTGTTGTTGCTGGGGGGGGGGGTATTTAGTATAAAGTAGGTGTTATCTCAATTTTCCTGCAAAAGTGGAAATACAGGGCTGGGAAATACATTTTCAGGGCCAGGGCAAGGGGGGGGGGGGGGCACCCTCTCACCACAGGCAAGCTCTGGATCAGTGACTAGCAACCAGGGACTGTAATTTATTGTCTGCTCTGACAGCTACTGCTATCATGCCATGCTCCAACCAGGGGCGGACTGACAAATCATGGGGCCCCCGAGCAATAGGACATCATGGGGCCCCTGTGTCCTTGCCCAAACTCAAAAAAGCCTATGAAAAAGGTACAAGGGGCATCTCATGGGGCCCCCTACTGACCCCGGGCCCTCGGGCAGTGCCCGAGTTTCCAAATGGTCAGTCTGCCCCTGGCTCCAACATACCCACTACCCGCCACATCCATCCACAGCTGATACAAAAACTCATGCAAGTTCAACTGCCTTTAGTCACAAGAAAGCAAGTGATTGGCCACGAAGGGGCAGTGTACACTCCATATCGACCATGGCCAGTTGGAGTAAGGGGGCACTGAATGGGCACAAGGTGGCAACCAGGGGCAGACTGACAACTCATGGGGCCCCCCAGGCAATAGGGGATCATGGGGCCCCTGTGTCCTTGCCCAAACTCAAAAAAGCCTATGAAAAAGGTACCAGGGGCATCTCATGGGGCCCCCTACTGACCCCGGGCCCTCGGGCAGTGCCCGAGTTTCCAAATGGTCAGTCCGCCCCTGGTGTCAACCCATTCTAAGGTATGCATTAGGAAGGGGGTACAGATCTGCGTCCTTGCCAGGAGTGCTGGATGGACCTGCCCTGATGCTGTACATGAAATTAACACATTAGGGTGATATATACAGTAGATGGCATTTTCTCTTTCCGTCTCAGTTCATGACTGTGCCATAGACTCAAATCAGATACACCTTTTCTCTGCCATTCATTTAGGAACAGGCACCTCGTGCAGACTCAATTATTTGCTGTCATTGCATAAACCAGATGAAAATATAAGCTACAACTTTTTTTATTTATAGTATGTATAGAGCCCCTTATAGAATTTGCAAACAAATGAACATTGCAAAAGACTGAGGAGGTAATTCAACATATGCAACACCATTCAAACACCGAAAAAGGTGTTATGCAGCTCCCCCTGGTGACCAGTGCCAAAGAATAATTTCCACATGTATTGCAATTTTCAACAAATCATTTGTGTGATCTTTAAATGTTGACTAGCAAACTCTCAAGACCCGTACACACGATCAGAAAATCAGATGACAAATAAATCACTTTCCTAGCCGAACACAACAGTTCACGCGATAATATCCGAAGGAACAAGCATGACTTTTTTTTTTTGTACGATAACAGCAAACAATTTTGTTTAATCAGTACAGTATTTGTAAAAATAAAAATAAAAATAATAGTTGAGAGACCAAGACCACACATGCTCAGAAAAAAAGAATACATTACAATACAATACATGACATCACTTCCGAAGTTGTATTCTGTTGTACGAGAATTTTTGTAACCTCTTCATTTTTGATATGAGACTAGTATGCAGCAAGAAACGAACAAAAAGTCGTCAGATTATCTGATTGTGTATGCTAAGCATAAGGAAGGCCATACGTGAATCTTTTTTTTTTTTTTTTTTTTTAATTCAACCAGCGGGTTGGACAAAAAAAAAAATTATCTGATTCCCCCATCCTTACAGTTGATGCAGATGGGGGAATTACTCATGCTGTGCCCAGGGGCGGACTGACAACTCATGGGGCCCCGGGGCAATAGGGGATCATGGGGCCCTGTGTCCTTGCCCAAACTCAAAAAAGCCTATGAAAAAGGTACCAGGGGCATCTCCTAGGGCCCCCTACTGACCCCAGGCCCTCGGGCAGTGCCCGAGTTTCCAACTAGTCAGTCCGCCCCTGGCTGTGCCATTGTATTCTGCAAGTGAAAGTGAAACTATAAGTGGGTGCTTACACTCCCCACGGACACCCCGCACTCAATCTCCAAATACCGTAGACCAAAATAACAATAAATGGTGCTACATGCAGTCCAACACCAATATGGAAATATTGTTTCTGTGCCACCGAATCTTCCCAAAGTGCTTCCCCTCCTGTGTCACCACAATGCACCCAAAGATCCATGACCCTCTTATTTGCAAGAAAAGGTCATAGAGCGCTGTTTGCCCCGGTTGCTCTCCAACTGCTGTTCCTCCAATCATCATTTGTCCTATGTACCCAAAGTCTCTCCATCAATGTCACCCAAGGACCACAAAGGCAGCGTTTCTCATTGTGCAGTATTTCATTAAACTTTGGCAATAAAAAGTATTCAATTTTACACTTACAAAACATGGAACGCAATATGTCGACACCAATACACCCAGCGTTTGTGCACCGCCATTCCTCACTGGACCTCAGCGTACGTTCCAAATACCGGAAGTGATGTAAGGATAAACCGTAAGCAGCCTCTACATGTTTCGCCGTGTGGCGTCCTCAGGAAGCTCCACATCTATATGGTGCAGGTGTACAGAAAGTTTCATTATATTGGCATTTCACTTTTGGCACTATGTAAATGTTCTGCACAGGCAGTAATGTAGGTTGGAGGACAGGCTACATATCGCTTTTATTCCTTTTTATTTGGTTTATGGTACTTAGAGATTGAGTGCGGGGTGTCAATGGGGTATGTACAGGGGTGTATTTAGGTTTTGTGCTGCCCCCTAGGCAACACAAAAATTGGCCTGACACCGAACAACACCCCTTCCCCATGCGGAGAGAGACTGACACTGACCAACACCCCCCCCCCCCCACGCGTGTAGAGAGATTGGCACTGACCAGCACCACCCCCCCCCCCCCCCCCATGGAGAGAGCCTGACACCAATCAACACCACCCCCCCTGCGGAGAGACCCTGACACCAACCAGCACCCCCCTGTGGAGAGAGAAGACTGACACCGACCGACACCATCCCCCCCCCCCCCCCCCCGCGGAGAGAGATTGACACTGACTGACACCACCCCCTCCCCCCGTGGGGAGAGACTGACACTGACCAACACTAACCCCCCCCATGGAGAGAGCCTGACACCGACCAACACTACCCCTCCTCCCTCACTCCCCCATAGAGGGAGCCTGACACTGACCAACACCCCCCCCCCCCCCGCAGAGAGAGAGACTGACACCGACCAACACCACCTTTCACTACCATCGCTCCCTCCATACACCAGCCGCCCCCACAAGAGAGAGAAAAACACTCACTTTCACAGCTCCAGCCATCCCCGGGAACAAGAGTCAGGCTCTGCATACACCATCATGCAGCCTGCAGTCTCTCTCGGATCCCACCTGGTCCCCATGCCTCGCGTGTCCCTTCTTCCTTCTCTTCTTCCAGGGGGCAGTGCTGCTCCCCCTGAAAAATGCCGCCCTAGGCAAATGCCTTGTTTGCCTTGTGGTAAATACGCCCCTGGGTATGTAAGCACCCACTTATAGCTTCACTTGTATTCTGCGAGTGTCACAGTGGGGAGCCTTCTCTGCTAGCAGAATACAATGTTGCTGGTTATAACCGGTGGCACTGATGGTTCAAGAAAAACCCAACAGGCTGGTTGTGCAGGGAGAAGTCTCTAACTTTTCTGCAGATAAAAGTACTGCAGCACCCAGATGATGTCCAGTGAAGGTCAGGTTGAAACACTGACCCACAGAAGGGTACCTAAACAATTCAGGAACTATCTGTTCATGAGAACCAGACTCAAGGTCTAAACCTTGAGTATATACCTGTCAGAGGGGTCCTTCTAGGGTAGGCGAAGGAGACACCAGAGACCAGCAATCAGTGTCCAGAACCTTATGGTCCAAAGAGACCATCTTGGTGTCCTGTTGTGAGATCAGATTCCCTAACATAGCAGAAGAGAATGAACTGAGGCTAAATTAGAGAGGCATCCTTCAGTAATCCCACAGTGCTAGACCCCTGGCAAAGTTTATGTAGGGGTTTGCAGGAGATAGGATGCTAAGCATAGCTTGAACTGCAAGAATCTGGAAAACTGGCCCTCTTTAAGGAGGGTCTTCTGAGCATTCTGCAACAGGGATGCCAGGATATGGCATTGGAATGGACATGAGGACCACTGGCAGGTTCTTACCAGAAAAAGGAGCAATAGGAAATGAACCCTGTTTACCTTGCAGGTCAAGAGTTTCTTAAGAAGAGGAACAAGGCTGAGGGGTATCAAGTACCAGAAGAGGTGAAATCATATCTGAAGGGAAAGAACTTGCACTGCGGAAAAGTGCCAGTCTGAGTGAGGTATCAGTTTTAAGAATAGTTTCCTACAAGAGTGTGAATCAGAGGTCTCAGGGTGCAGGGATCCCAGACTACAGTGGAAGATGCACAATTGGGTGACCTGGATGATGTTCATAGCCTGCCATGGCTGATGGTCAGGCTAGAGCCATGTCTGATGTGGAGAAGCTACAAAAAAAATCACAGGGGCAGAGGATGGGAGGTCAGCAGGCCAGAGGATAGGGTCAGCAGTTTTGAGAGTAATGTACAGAGGCCATTAGTTTGTAGGGTGGAGGACTGGGGTCATCAGGGCAGTGTACAGGGGTCAGGAAAGCTGAGGATAGGGGTTGTTGGATTTTGGGGGGATGCAACGGAAATCTGGAGGGGGTCACAGCCCACCCCAGCATCCCCCTGGATCAAGCCAAGGGTCAGGTTACTATTCAGGAACAGACCTCCCGCTCTCCTTGGGGATCAAATTGTTGGAGGCTCACCTGGAGCTGTATTACAGTGCTGTCTTCTTGAGCCATGGAGCTCTGCATGTACTTCCCAGCATGAGTTTGATTACTATGCACTAGGCAATGCGTTTCAGGGAGTTCCTCTTTGTCAAGCTTTTAAATGGATTTACTGATGCATTTATGGTGTACTGGGAACTGCCAATCTAAAGTTTCTTAATTAGGAGTCTAAAAGTATCAATACATCTAAGGAGAAGCCTGATTACAATGTGCTACATAATATAAAAACTTAGCAATATAGTAATAAAATAATATTGTGTTTACAATGCAATTCAAGTGTTACTAAACCCACAACAGTAAAATCAGTCTGTAGATTCAGTAAACCATGCTTGTTATACTCACTGTGGAACCTAAGGGGTTAACCCTCCGCCATGTATAAAAAGGATGTTTGATCCTGTCTTCTCTGATCAGTTCCCAATCCATTTGCTGATAGTACAGAGCCCTAAGAGACACTGTGCACATGATCAGTTTGGTGTGTATTGCTAGAGAGCTATTTTTTTTGGGGGGGGGGGGGGTGCATGTGATCAGCACAGGGCCAATCAGCACTGTCCAGACAGAGGGACAGGTGTCATGCAGCCTAATAGGATAGTCAGGGGCGAATGAAAAGGTATTTAGCAGTTTATATTTACTAAAATAATTGCATTTCTATGTTCTGTGTACTGTGGGAGATCAGATATAGCGAATGCAGGGTCCTGGGTTTAGTAACACTTTCAAATACAATTAAAATCTGAAGGAAATTGTAACAGCATTGATATGCCACTAGATGTAACTAGAGTACTCTTGCACTATTTCTTGGACTGTAACACATTTGATATGGTGTCAATTCCGAAAGACACAAATGATCAGTTTCAAAAAGATAAAAGGTAAACCTGATTGGATGTAATTGCAATGGTGTTAGTATGCCACCAGGTGGAACTAGAGTATGGTTCACTATGTCCTAGAATGTAACAAATTTGACATGGTATCAATTTCAGTAAAAAAGTTTTCGTTTCAGTAAAAAAGTTTTCGTTTCAGAAAGATAACAAGAATAACCTCATCATAAGGACACATTGGGAGAAGCAGAGGGGGCTAAAAAGCAGAAACAATATGGATATATCCACTAGTAATCCTATGAAAGCAATATCCTAGTAAGGACATCAAAGTCAGAATGTTATTGTATAGAATTAGATAGACAAGGAAATAAATAATGGTAAAGAATGTCTCCAGTTGGTCAAATGATATCATTCTACCCAGAAGAGGTAAAAAGTGGTAATAAATACCAAAACCTATATCTACCTATATCTAACTTATTTATCTAGAATAAATAATAATACGATCTGTAAATGGGTCTGTGGAATATATCCATAGAAAGTTGTAAGAATTAAAAATCAAATCTTGAACATTTCTAAAAACAGGTATAATATGTTTGATGAAAATCATACCGATTTTTCAAAAACTGAAAATTCCTATGAACGATAGTATGGATCAGTATGCATATGGAGGTTCTATATATTTTCATGGACAAATATCTAAATAATGAATATAATAATCAATACATGCTTGGAGACGGAGGAGAGGAATAGTGACATCCATTGTCAGGAGCTACTCGTATACTTGTACGTGAGCCCATTGCAGCTAGTCCCTCACTGTCCCAGTGTAGTTAGAAAAATACAACATACACTATATTACCAAAAGTATTGGTCGGCCCGTCTTTACACGCACATGAAGTTTAATGGCATCCCAGTCTTAGTCCGTAGGGTTCAATATTGAGTTGGCCCCGCCCTTTGCAGCTATAACAGATTCAACTCTCCGGGGAAGGCCGTCCACAAGGTTTAGGAGGGTGTCTATGGGAAGGTTTGACCATTCTTCCAGAAGCACATTTGTGAGGTCAGGCACTGATGTTGGACGAGAAGGCCTGGCTCACAGTCTCCGCTCTAATTCATCCCAAAGGTGTTCTATCGGGTTAAGGTCAGGACTCTGTACAGGCCAGTCAAGTTCCTCCACCCCAAACTGGCTCATCCATGTCTTTATGGACCTTGCTTTGTGCACTGGTGCGCAGTCATGTTGGAACAGGAAGGGGCCATCCCCAAACTCTTCCCACAAAGTTGGGAGCATGAAATTGTCCAAAATGTCTTGGTATGCTGATGCCTTAAGAGTTCCCTTCACTGGAACTAAGGGGCCAAGCCCAACCCCTGAAAAACAAACCCCACACCATAATCCTCTCTCCACCAAACTTTATAATTGGCACAAATGCAGTCAGGCAAGTACCATTCTCCTGGCAACCACCAAACCCAGACACATCCATCAGATTGCCAGACAAAGAAGTGTGATTGGTCACTCCAGAGAACATGTCTCCACTGCTCTAGAGTCCAGTGGTGGCGTGCTTTACACCACTGCATCAGATGCTTTGCATTGCATTTGGTGATGTAAGGGCTGGTGCAGCTGCTTGGCCATAGAAACCCATTCCATGAAGCTCTCTACGCACTGTTGTTGTGCTAATCTGAAGGCTACACAAAGTTTGGAGGTCTTTAGCTATTGACTCTGCAGACAGTTGGCGACTTCTGCGAACTGTGCGCTTCAGCATGCACTGACCCCGCCCCCATTTTACGTGGACTACCACTGTGTGGCTGAGTTGCTGTTGTTCCCAGTTGCTTCCACTTTGTTATAATACCACTAACAGCTGATTGTGGAATATTTAGTATCAAGGAAATTTTCATGGATGGACTTATTGCACAGGTGACAACCTATCACGGTACCATGCTTGAATTCACCGAGCTTCTGAGAGCGACCCATTCTTTCACAAATGTTTGTAGAAGCAGTCTGCATGCCTAGGTGATGATTTTATACACCTGTGGCCATGGAGGTTATTGGAACACCTGAAATGCACGCCACACTTTTCACATATTAATTTGTAAATAATGTTGAAAACCATTTATCAGTTTTCTTCCACTTCATAATTATGTGCCACTTTGTGTTGGTTTAGCACATAAAATGCCAATAAAATACATTTACGTTTTTGGTTGTAACATGACAAAATGTGGAAAATGTCAAGGGGGATGAATACTTTTTCAAGGCACTGCAGGTTACCTTAATACTAAATGGATATGTAATGTCTCCAGTAGATGTGTAGAATCTCTGATAGAACTGATGGTATTCTAGGCTGTAAAAGGCAGTCTACACTCATAAGCCACTTTATTAGCTACACCTTGCAAGGTTGAACCCCCTCTTGCCTTCAGAACTGCCTTAATTCTTTGTCGCATAGATTCAACAAGTTGTTAGAAATAATCCTCAGAGATTTTGGTCAATATTGACATGAGTTACTTTGCCTTTCTATCATCTTGAACCAGTCTGCCCATTCTCCCCTGACTTCTGACATCAACAAGGCATTTTTGTCCACACAACTGGAACTCACTGGAGATTTTCTCTTTTTCGGACCATTCTCTTTAAAACCTAGAGATGGTTGTACATGAAAATCAAAGTAGATCAGCAGTTTTTGAAATACTCACACCAGCCTATCTGGCACCAACAACCATGCCACCTTAAAAGTCACTTAAATCCCCTTTCTTCCACATTCTGGTGCTCTGTTGGAACGTCAGCAAGTCATCTTCACCACGTCTAAATGCATTGAGTTTCTGCCATGTGATTGGCTGATTAGCAATTTGTGTTACTAAGCAATTGAACAAGTATACCTAATAAAGTGGCTGGTGAGTTTGTATACCTA